ACTGTCATAGTAGCTGGGTAAGAGATAAGGGGTAAAAAAGTATCCAGTCATCTAACCACATTTCTGCTTTTTTTGTACAAGCTTCAGATGAAATACAGTCACTCAATAAAGTCCTTCTATTTCTCTTTCCCTCCCTCCCTTTCTCCCTTCCCATTTGCCTAGAGAGGGGAACCCTAAACCCTTTGGAGCCCTGCCAGCAGCACCAAAAGAATCTCTTGACTATTTTCCCAGGGAATTCCTGCCTTAAATGTCAGCGGAGTATAACTCCCCAGCCAAAGCAGAGTCCGCCTGGATCTGAATCAAGGAAAATGTGCCTGCCACACCAAACAGGAAAACCTGGATCCACGGGCATGGGGGCAAGGGCAGTGATTTAGCTAAAGGATTTGGAGGACCACCAGAAAAGTTTCCTCAGATTCACCTCATGGAAGAATGGGAAGCTAAGTCAAATCTTTTGGTTCCTTGCAGGGTTTTTTTGGTTGTTATTTATATTTTACTCTTTTGATGGTGAACTATACTTCAGGAAACCACTCTGAATTATAATAAGGCAACGCCTTTTTGATAATGGAACAAAGCTACCATTAAAGCCTTTTGTTATGGTGGAGCAGGCAGTGGTGGTGTTGATGGTGGGAGTGGTGATGGTGGTATTGGTGGTGTTGGTGTTGGTGGTGGTGGTATTGGTGGTGGTGCTTGTGATAGTGTTGGTGTGATGGTGGTGGTAGTGTTGGTGGTGGTGGTATTGATGGTGGTGGTCATGGTAGTGTTGGTGTGGTGGTGTTGGTGGTGTTGATGGTAGTGTTATTGGTGATGGTGGTATTGGTGGTGGTCATGTAGTGTTGGTGTAGTGGTGGTGGTGATAGTGGTGGTGGTGGTGGGAGGGTGGTGGTGGTGGTGATCGTGGTGGTTACCCCTGCTGTTGTTGTTGTTCTATTTGTTTGTTTTTAATGAACACACTGATACTGCTCTGGAGGGAATTCCTGATGCTGCAATTCAGATAAAACAAAGTAAGATTTATGAGTTGTGATTGAACATCCCACACCAGCCTGGAGACACTTGTGTCTGGTACTCAGGCACTGCTGGCACTTTTAGTGCTTTTCTTTTAGTTTTCCGTTTCTGAACACATGAAGAAGTAGTAAAAGTTCTGGGGCACCCCGACCAGTTTGGCTCAGAGGTTAAAGCATCGACCCGGGAAGCAAAGAGTCTCAGGTTTGATTCCAGTCAAGAACACGTACTACAGTTTGGGTTCATCCAGGCCCTGGTTGGGGTTGTGCTGGAGGCAACCAACTGATGTGTCTCTCTCACATCCATGTTTCTCTCTCTCTCTCTTACATTCTGTCTGAAAATAAATGGAAAAGTATCCTAGGGTGAGGATTTGAAAAATAAAAAGTTCTGTGGGCAAGGGTGGGAGACAGTCCACAAATCCCAAAGATACACATCAGCACCAAAGGAAAACAATGTAGTGTAAGTAGTTTAAAAATTCAGTAGTGAAGTGTGTTGTTCAGCTCATTTGTGCTGAGTACTCTTGTCATTTTCATTTACCCTCTTTCATTTTCTCTATATGTTACTGACCTACTATTTCATAAGATTACTCAACCAAAAACTCACAAGATTGCCTAACACAAATGGCTGATTTAAAATCAGCATGCCATCCTGTCCCCAAAGATCACAGGACTGCTCAGTGAGAAAGTCAAGAAGATGTCATCAATTAATTGTCATTTTATTTTTAAGTGAGTTAGGCCCTTCCAAATGTACCAATGGGAAAAAATATATAGATAGATTCCAAATGCCATTTGGCTCTCAGCCCAAGACAGTTCAAAACAGATTCACTCAGAAGCCTTATTTATATTCACCAGGGCTCCCCACCTCCTCTTACCCCCACCATCACCACAAACACATGATAACTGCTTTCTCCCATCATCATACCCTGAGTGCATTGCTGCAGACAATCCGAGTCCCTCGTCCAAATAAAAGCCAGGCAACTAGGTTATTATTGCACAAGGCTGAAGGTGTGGCACAAGGGTCTGTCATACCAATACCTAATAAAAACTACCTCCAGCCCTGGCCAGTTTGGCTCAGGAGTTATAGTATAGGCCTGCGGACCAGAGAAAAACTACCGCCAGTAGGTGAAGAGTTAATCCCTGGTCCATTTTAAGCCACTCTGCTGAGAGTACTAATAAGTGTATGAGTTGGTGCCAATGAGGGTGGCCCTTCCCTTGATGGGAACGGCCATCCCTTAGGAACTGGACTGTCAACACACTCTACGAGGGCAGCGATCAGCCAGCCAGAAGAAAGGGAAAGGGTCTGAGAAACTGTGGTAACCCAGTTTTACTGGCACTTTGTAAAATGGTAATGAGAACTGCCAGGGCCGTGGAGAGAATGCTAATGAGCCTAGAGCAACAAGCAAAGAGTGGACCTGAAAATAGATTCCCCCCAACAAGCAGCAGCCCAAGCAAGCAGCAGGCTTTGTGGTCCCCTGTGGATGCGACCAGGGGTTCAGTCGCTAGGAAGAACCTAAACACAGCAGCACGGTTCCTTGCGTTCACCGGCCTCACAAACACTTCTGACTCAACGCTCGTAGAGCCCGAGCAACTACGTCTAGCATGTTTGCCTAGAAAGTCAAAGTTTTCAAATTAAGAAAACAAAAACAAAAAACATTTTGCCCCTTAAAAAAAATAAAAAAATAAAAAATAATTCTAAAATCTGAATAGTAAACAGAGCTTTAAGAATCAACATAAGCCCTGGCCGGTTTGGCTCAGCGGTTAGACCATCGGCCTGTGGTCTGAGAGACCCGGGTTCGGTTCCTGCTAAGGGCATGTATATCGGTTGCAGTTTGTCCCCGGCCCTTGGTCGTGTGGGTGGCAGCCACTCGATGTGTCCCTTCACATCGATGTTTCTCTCTCTCTCTCTCTTCCTCTCTCTCCCTCCCACTCTACCTGAATAAAAAAAAATGAGGATAAAAAAAAAAGAATCAACATAAAATGTTTAAAGGGTTCTTTGTGGATTCACATAAATTCACCGTTCCCCTCTCATCAAAACTTATTTTGACTTTCGGGGAGCATATTTTAAGAAGGCTAGACACCCTGATGAGCCGTCATCAATGGCAACCACATCCTTAAGGATGTGAATTTGATCTCCGTTATCTGAGAATGCTGGAAACAGGAATAAAGTGCTCCTCTGAAATTCACACTCATAACTAATTCCTCTTTCTCATGAGAGCTTCTCGCCCATTTCCAAGTCTCAAGTGCCCAAATGAGGCAAGACAACAAAAAAGTGTGACTGTGATGTCAAAGTGTAACAGCTTTTGCTCTTCTCTCTTCTGTGTGTCTTCATTCTGAAAAATACTCTGATCTGAAATCAGATGAAGAGGTGGGGTAGGGATGGGGAGGATCCCATAGAAGGATGTGAGTTATCATCTAATTGTTGGGTTGAGCAGTAAGTTCATAAAAGTTCATTGTATTGTTATAAAGCAAGTAATTAACTGTTATAAAATAAGAGAGCCATATACGTGTCAGTGATGACCGACTGTCATAAACAAAGGATTGTGATTATTTAAATTCTAGGCACGTGGGGTCCATGTAAAGAAAAACAGTTAAGATAGCCATGCAGGCAGCTAATGCTCAGACCTAACAGAGTTCACCAAACTCTTTGGTTGCAGATGACTTCATGGGCACATACCCTGTGTGATTCCATGGGGCCCCATAATTAGAAGGGCCCCACATTCGGCTTAATGTCTTTTTGAACAAGTCTTGCATTCATGTTGCCCTGGCGCCCCACAAATGATGCCCTCAGTCCTGTCCTTAGGTTTCTAGAAATTAAATTTACCTACAGTTCCCAATAATTTTGTCCCCACCCAACCTCTATATTTTTTAATTTGCTTCTTTTTATCCAACAATTATTATTAATATAGCAACCAGGTAAGCATCCTGAAGTCTTATTACCTATTTTTTTCTATTTCTTATTATCCATATCAGTGCTGCCCAGGCTACAAACGGACCTGCAGTTATCCATTGTGCTTAAAATGCCACTTCCCAGATAAAAAACTTCAAACAAAGCCACTGAATATTTTGCCACTCAAAAGTGAGCACACTGGCCTCTCAATTCACCTCAAATGCTGGATACACAAAGCTGTGTCCTCACAGTTGCCCAGTTTCAACTACAACACACAACCAAACAAGACAAATCTTCAGCGATTCCTTGTGGTAGGGAGAAAGATAAAGATCTGGAGAAATGTTCATTTTCAAAGATTGCCAGCTAAAGAAACATAATGTAAGCATTTTGTGTTCCTGAAGTGCCCTGTGTCCATAGTGATCAGGTAGAGAAAAGTTATTTCAAGTTCAAATATAACTTGGCGATTGCCACATTGGGGCAGAATCTTTCCACCCCTAGACTCCAAAAACCCAATCAGACAAGTGGCCGTAATCTGACTCCCAGCGCACTGGGAGCTGTGGGCAGGCAATGAGAGCTGCACTCTGGCCAGGGAAGGCATGAGTGACAGACCCGCAGCAAGGCGGTGGGGGTAAGTCCTTCTTTGCCTTAAGGGAACAATGCTCAGGACCAAAAGATGAAACTCTGACTCTTTTATTAAAGTGCCTTCTCTGGCAGAATCTAGGAGAAAACTAGAGGGCAGGTGGGTGGTTCTTTAGATCTGAGCACTGACCATATTTATAAGAGAAGCATAGAGAAGGGTGCAGAAAAGGGATGCTTTGTTGCAAAACCCTCCATATGCTGGAGACCTGTGAAAGCACAGGAAAATGACCCTATGGAGGTAAATCTAACTGCAGTATTTTTCATCAGAAAAGGTACTCAGTCAGGGGCTCAGCCATCCAGGAGTGAATCTGGCTGGGTGTTCAGCTAGAAAGAAATGCACCCCTTTCAATGCAATCTGGGCACATCAACAAGCCCCCTTTGTTCCGGGGCAAAAGAAGCAAAACAAATGGTGTTGATCCCTTTCCAGTGAGCGTGAACACGTAAGGGAACATTGAGGATCACAGCAGGAGGCTTTGCGAGCCCTGGGGCGAGCACTTCTAAGACCACAGGTATGAGAGCCCTGCCAGGAAACTTAGGGGTTCACAGCCCACTGAGGCTAGTCACTCTGCCCTGGAAGATCAGATCAGGTTTTCAAAAAAAAAAAAAAAAAGCTAAATGCACTCTTTAAGGAGTACATTGATCTGGTTGGGGTTGGTGGGTGTTTTGTGTGTGTGTGTGTGTGTTTTTTTCCTGATGAAAATTTGAAGCTGAAAGAGGAGCTGAGTTCCTTAAATTAGGTCCCTGGAGAGGTAGACGGATGCGTGAGAGAATGAGCAGAAAGAGAACTCAGGGAGCTGGGGAAAGTGAGGGAAGAAGGGGTGCAGCCGGGAGGTGGCCTCTTCCCAGGGCCCGCCCCTCCCGGTGATCTCCGGTGCTGCTGAAAGGGGACCTGTGCTTCCTGCCCACCCTGCTCCTTAGATTTCTCTTGGTACACTTCCTTTTTCCCACTAAGTCCGGCCACAGACAACCAGAACCTGTGATAGCACCTTGCCCCCTTGCCACCCCAGCTACGCCGTGGGCTGCTGGTGAGTTCGGAAGCCACCCTCATCACTTCTTGTGAGTTGTTTGACTTTCTTCCCTCCTTGGAATATTATTAATGTCTCTCCTAGGGCGCCTTCCCTGCCCCATCCCAAGTGCTCTTTTTTGTCTCTTTATTTTCCCTTCCTCTAGGGAGTGTGATGTCATTGCCTCCCAGCTGAGCCTTTTTGTAATTATACGACTCATTTAGAGGAGTTCACTGGGCAGTGGAAGCCTGGGACTGGGCTGGCCATTCCCTCCCCTTCTGGAGCCACCTGGGCTTGGGCAGAAAATGTGCTTCTCTTTCCAACTCTGAAGAAAGGCCCCATGTCAAACCAGAGGCTGAGTTGAGCTCCTAAAGATTAAGGGAGAGTTGCCTTAACCCTTCTGGCACAGGATTGCCCCGCTGGCCATCCGGAACCAAGGCTCCTGGGACACTGAGTGAGGGGGGAGGGGCTCACTCTCAGTAATATATTGAGGGGTGGGCTGCAGTCACTCTCATCTGTTAAAATACTTGGCGTTCTTGCCTAACTCTTTTTACAGCCCGCTGTGATTAGAGTCTCTGCTAAATGCTCTGCATACTCCGCTCTCGCTGCTGTCCCAGGTGAAGGATAAGGGCAGAAGTCTTGAATAACGGAGAAATGGGGTAATTGCCCCCCATAGGGGACTCCTAGTCATTTCATTCCAGTATGAGCTGCTGGCATTCATATCCCCAAATCCCATTCCTTCCCAGCTCCAAGGATCAGCAGACAGTAAGAGGAAAACAGATCTAAGGAAGAAAGTGTCTGCACTCCCAAAGGCGGTCTTTCTGCTCCCATCCTCCTTCACCACCTTCCAACACACACAAGCTCCCCGGGTAGAGGCACTGCACGCCGTCTCCCGGGGCCAAGCAGAAGTGAGAAAGCCACCAAGAAGACACTGGGGAGAAACCGCTTTCCACAAGGCTCTGCGCCCAGGGCCGCCGTGTCCCTCGCCCCATCCCTTTGCGCACTCGCCCTCCGGAGCTCTGCCTGGCCTCGCCGGCAGCCGCACTTGGCTCCCCTGAAGGGTGGGCTGGATGCCTGGGGTGCTGCTGGCATACACGGCCTCCAGGATCCCTTGGGGAGTTTATCTGAGGGCTAACGTCAGGGGTTGGGAAAGAGTCCAGCACGAGGAGGGACTGTCCCCTAACTGTGCAAAGCACCGCGGAAGCCAGGACGCAGCTTTCCCAGGGGAGGCTGTTGGGTCGCCTGGGACCGACGGGTGCGGAGGGGGCGGGTCTGAGCTGATGGGCTGCTCTGTTTGTCCCCCTGGCCACTGCCCATGAGCCTAGCAACCTCCCGGAGTGGCCGCTCGCCCCACCCCCACTTCCCTCGGCCCTTTGAGAGGCGCCCCTAAGGCCAAAGTTTGACACGTCCGGGTCCCAGTGCCTCGCGTCTCGCTTGGAGTAGTGCTCAGCGCCCCTCCGGCTTCTCCCTCTAGCTGGGGAGCGGGAGGGTATCCCCACCTCTGCTAAGGCCCTGCGTGATCCTACTGCCCCTGCCTGTCACCATGAGGTCCCCTTCCCCCTTCTGCAGAGACAGACTCCCAGCATTCCGGGCTTCCTAGCAGGCGTCTCCTTAATCCAGAATTTCCCCTCGGGGAGAGTGGACGGCAAATCAGCTCTATAAATCCATTTGCAGAATGCCAGTTTGAGCAATAAACCATAAAACTGAAGAAAACTTCCCTGTTATATTGCTCGATGTTCAAAATATAAGTGGCATATAAAAAAGGACCTTGAAAGTTAAAACATGCTCTGAGGAAATTAACTGCAAAGGGACTATATTTTATTAATTCTTTAAGGAACTTGATGTAGACGTTAAATAATTTTCCAGTGAAACGAGAGTATCTTTGCTGTTGTTGTTAATCCTCACCTGAGGATATTTGTTCCATTGTGGAAGGGAGGGAGGGAGGAGGGGGGAGAGAGAGAGAGAGAAACAAGGAAGTGACAGAGACACACGATTGGTTGCCTCCCAAACAATGCCCAGACCACTGACCACCTCCTGGGATCAAACCCGAAACCCTTGACTGGGAAGGGAACTTTTAACCCTTTGGTGCATGGTCTGACGCTCTAACCATTGAGCAACACAACCCAGGCAAACTGGAGTATCTTTTCATATTAAATCAAAGGAGACTAGAGTATCAATCTATTGACTATTGTTTTAGGAGACTATTAATTAATTACAGAGATTTCCCAAAAGCATTCTTTGTTGATATGCAAATAACCTTTGGTGGGGAGACCTCTCCACAACAGAATAAGCCCGCAGACCTGGTGTCTTCACCTGAATTCATAAATCCTGGTTTGGTAACTTCTGATGCTGATTTCATTTTCTTTTCAGTAAGTGTGGACCTTTGTGTAGAAGAGAGAATATCATGGTGGCCTTCAAAGGGGTCTGGACGCAAGCTTTCTGGAAGGCAGTCACAGCAGAATTTCTGGCTATGCTTATTTTTGTTCTCCTCAGCCTGGGATCCACCATCAACTGGGGTGGAACGGAAAAGCCCTTACCTGTCGACATGGTCCTCATCTCCCTTTGCTTTGGACTCAGCATTGCGACTATGGTGCAATGCTTCGGACACATCAGTGGGGGCCACATCAACCCTGCTGTGACAGTGGCCATGGTGTGCACCAGGAAGATTAGCATTGCCAAGTCTGTCTTCTACATCACAGCCCAGTGCCTGGGTGCCATCATCGGAGCTGGGATTCTCTACCTCGTCACACCTCCTAGTGTGGTGGGGGGCTTGGGGGTCACCACGGTAGGATCTTTAGCTCTTATTTTCAAACTAGGACTTCAAGCTTCTTGCAGACTCTACCCAATGACACCCTGGTGACCTGGGAGACCTTCCTAAAATTGCTAATGTATATTCAGAAGATGTCTGATGATTCTTATAAGGGTGAAACCTGATTCTGGCAGCATTGCAAGCATCTATGTGAAATCATTGATTGCTATTGAATATTACTAAGTCTCGATGGCACAAAAATTGTGTTAGTACTTTCCTCTCCCTCTCCCATCGCAGTGACACTATATATATATATGTATATATATATATATATATAGACATTTTTATTACAATTATTTTTTGTTTCACTAGCAGAAGAAACAATTTGTTTCTTGTCATGTTTGTGAAGTTTAAATGATCTATGTTAAGGATCACACTTACAAAAGTAAATTGACATTTGAACCTAGCTTGCTTCTTAGCTTATTAGGACTATCATATATTAGCTCAGCACCAGGATTGATTAAACACACACACACACACACACACAGTTTAAATTTTAATTGAAATACATGTTAATTAATTTAAATCTAATTAATGGATTTAATCATTGCCTTATAAAATTATAAGACTCTCAAGAAAGTCTTAAGTACAGCAGTTGCACATTTTGTTTCCTTTGTAAAAAAAAACATTCAGTGCAAACTCCTGCTTAGTCATTGTAAGAGTAATTAATTACCTATGATGACCCAAAATGAGTAAAATTTATTATACTTTCTTTTGTGGGGCAGTGCAGGGGCAATGACCTAATCGGGAGTTAGATAGAAGACTCAACCATCAATTTTTTTTTCAATTACAGTTTATATTCAATATAATTTTGTATTAGTTTCAGGTGTGCAGCATAGTGGTTAGACAATCACATACTTTACTGAGTGTTCCCCCCAGTATTTCAAGAACCCACCTAGCACCATATGTAGTTATTATATATTATTGACTGTATTCCCTATGTTGTAATTTACATCTCTGACTGTTCTGAAACTACCAATTGATACTTCTTTTTTTTTTTTTTGGTACGTGCCCCTAGCGGGAACCGAACCCGGGACTCTCTGGTCCGCAGGCCGATGCTCCAACTGCTGAGCCAAAACGGCCAGGGCCCAATTGATACTTCTTAATCCCTCCACCTTTTTCACCCAGCCCCCAAAACTCCTCTGTCAGTTGTCAGTCAGTCTGTTCTCTATTAGTCTGTTTCTTTCTTTTTTTTTTTTTAAGTATGTTTTTATTGATTTTTAGAGAAAGAGGAAGGGAGAGAAAGATAGAAATATTGATGTGAGAGAGAAATATCAATTGGCTGCCTCCTGCATACCCCCCTACTGGGGATCGAGCCTGCAACCTGGGCATATGCCCTGACCAGGAATAGATCCAGGACCTCTCAGTCCAGAGGACAACGCTCAATCCACTGAGCCACACCGGCAGGGCAAGTCTGTTTGTTTATTGTTTTTTTAAAAATACACATATAAGTGAAATCATATGTCAACCATCAGTTTTTACACAGATAAAATATGCCTCTCACATTGATATGTTATCATAGAAAATGTATTCTTGCTTCAACTCAGATGGAGTATTTTTCTCTTTCTAGGTTCATGGAAATCTCACTGCTGGTCATGGTCTCCTGGTGGAGTTGATAATTACATTTCAGTTGGTGTTTACTATTTTTGCCAGCTGTGATTCCAAACGAACTGATGTCACTGGTTCAATAGCTTTAGCAATTGGATTTTCTGTTGCAATTGGACATTTATTTGCAGTAAGTTTCCAAGTTCATTTAAATAATTGATCCATTTCATCTATCCTTGCTCTAGAACTGGCCTGAAAATGCCTTTTCCAGAAGTAGTTCTTTAGAATCCAGCCATGTCTGCCCCTTTTAGGTGATGATTTTACTAGCTTTTCAATGCTAATGTTAATAACGGCAGTGAACACCTTGACAGTTCTCACTTCCTCGGTTTGTTACCATTGCAAATGGTAGCAAATTTCAGTGGATGATACCTGTCAGTAGACCTGTTTCAGCAAAGTCTGAAGTTGATTTCTTTTTCCCTATAGATCAATTACACTGGTGCCAGCATGAACCCCGCCCGATCCTTCGGACCTGCAGTTATCACGGGAAATTGGGAAAACCATTGGGTAACTATCATATTGAGGGCAGTTACCCATGGAGCTCTTGTTTTTGTTTTTTTTTTGTGGGGTTTTTTTTTTCCATTATTTTGCTCACTACTTTCTCATGCTTACTTCCAACCTTGACCCCCTACTTCATTACATCTTTCGTAAGAGACTAGCACAGATCTGTTGCAAAACATCTCATCTTATACATGTTCTGAGCCTTCAGTAACAGTTTTTGTTTTGTTTTGTTTTGTTTTGTTTTGTTTTGTTTTGTTTTGTTTTGTTTTGTTAGCTCTGCTCTGGGCACTGTATCTGACAGACTACAACAGAATGCATTGTACATGGAGGTTGCCTATGTGGAACAGGTTGAAGTCAGGATAGTGTAGTGCATATGGTTTTTAAATAATTAAAAGTAAAGCCTTCCTGGCAATAACAGAAAATACACTTGCAAAAATGAAGAAAAGAATGAAATGCTTAAAAGCACTGCCCATAGCAAAAATATTTATCTTTTTTGTTTACAAAAGCACGAACCCAATTAATAGTATGCAAGTTGGAAGCATTTGAACTGCAGATGGTGAGGAATAAATGGTACAAATGTTTACCCTATTATCACCGTAACCATCGCTGGAAAAATAAATGACTTTCAGAAAAGGCATACTTTTTAGTCTCATGCCTAAACCTACTTATTAATGTGTTGGCAATGCTTCCGGAGAGTACTGGTACCCATTTTTAAATATCACGACCAATTTTATTTCAATTGTTTCCTTACAAAAAAAATATTTAAATTTCTCAAATGAATAATGTAGCAGCTTTGAAGGCCCCTTACACACTAACTTACAATAGTCAATAAAAATATGAGACATGTAAGCCAGTCTCAAATGGGCTAACTTTTATTGTCATTTGTATGTTGTGAATGCTATTTTACAACTTTTAACGTATGAATATAACAGAACATCACTGGTGTGTCAGTCTCATGCACGCAGTGGCTACTGACCAGTCACACCCGCTCAGCCACGGTGTAATTGCAGAGGAGACTGCATGGCTGCTCTGTGCACTCAGCTCTAAGGAAAGCCTGCTGAGTTCTTACAAGGAACCTACACCATCAAATAATCTTTGAGTCAGTGTTCAAATGCAAGACTTAGGAACCAGAGAAGCAAAGACTCAGTCAACAATGCTGTACATCAGATTGGTCATTTTGCCGATTCCAAACTTGTGTCGCAACAAATTTGCCACATGAACAGGAATGGATATCTTTTTATGCACAGTGTATAGATCTTATGATAAGCACATAAATTTTAGTTCAACTTATTAAATTCAAACTATTTTTTATAATTAAAATTTAGAAAATGACAACTTTCCATTTATGAGGACTTTAAAATGCACACGAAAATATGTTTTATGAATTGTTAGTTGTGGCTAACTAGTGATAATTTAAAGAGTAGGAAAATTCTTAGATTGTTGATTGAATCAAAGTTTCTCCTTATTTTATAGCAAACTTAATGCTACTGAGAGTAAATGTCCATTTTGTAGCAATGGTGCGTGAAATTTAGAACTAAGTTAAAGTTTATCTGCAGATAGATAGACAGATAAACTATAAATAACACCAAAATACTAATAGCATTATTTTAGTTTTCTTTTTTATACTTTTCTGTATTTTCTGTATGTTTAAGAATAAAATTCTTTTTCTTTATAGATTTTAGAAGTTACTTTAAAGTAAAATCTGACTTTGTTTTGAAGTTACAACTTGAAATTCAGATTTCCTTGTTGTTGAGCACATGCAGCCACATGTCCTGTTCATGGGATTGGGGAGAGCGTGCTGAGTATTTAGCAGTCTCTCGTCTTCCTGTGGGACTTGTAGCTTACGGAATAGAGTATATCCAAGGTGATCTTACCAAAGGAACAGAGTAAAAACACTAAGGGAAGGGCTCCTTTGAAAAACCATGGAGAAGGTAAACTCACATGGTCTCTTTCATGTTCAAGAGAAGAAAACTTGATTCTTGTAACCACGCTACCAACAGTTTCCCTGTTAAGTATGTGTTCAGCTTTAGCTTAAAGTTGAATTTTCCTTAGACTTTGCAGTGAGGATGCTGGTATTAATTTTCAGGGAGTGTGGTAAGCCAGAATCATTCACCACAGTTTTTTTCAGATGGGAAAAGTGTCTAGTGGAAAGCCGTGTAACAGCTCAAAGGAGTGGTTTGAATGTTGACAGACCTGAAATCCCAGCTCAGCTAGTTGCTAAGCATGAAATCTTCGGCAAGACTCTTACCCTCTCAGAGTGCCAGTTTTCTTACCGATAAAATGGAAATAACAACAATATCTAGTTCAAAGGTTATTGTTAGACTTAAATGAGTTGGTATGAGAAAAGCACCAAGTACAGCTGGCTCAATACACAGGGTTTCTGTTGCCCAAGTGAATGTCTTGAATAAATGTCTAATATTCTACAGTATAATATGTGCTCTAAAGCAAATGTTGAACTTTATCCCAAACTCAAAACCTAGCTCATTCTATATACATAAGTAATAGGATAAAATGCTTCTTTGTTTAATTAAAAATCTTATGGAATTGCTTGCTCATCCTCAGCTAACCATCATCCATAAACTCAGTCCAGGGTTTTTCTTCAAGTCATCACTGCAAGGACTAGCCAACACTCTGCAAGAAGGGGAATGAACAAACCATGAGGGTTTTAATAAAATCGAGTCACCAAATTTTAGACAGGAAAAGCATGTAACATAAATGAATATGCCATGGCCAGCCTAGTCACATGCACCTTTAAATTGTCTAGGAAACACGGAAGGGAGCAGGTTACTATGCAATTGGAGCTTTCAAATATTTACAAGTACTTAATTAAATTTCCATTTAATCCTGACAGCCCATGCAGTGTGTAGTATTATAATCCCCACTTTGTGGATGAGGAAATTAAGGTTTAGGAAGTTAAGTAACGGATGCAAACACTCACAAAGCTAAGTGGTGGAGCTGGTATTCCAGTTACCATGCTCTGCTGAATCACAAACGCTCAAAATGGTAAAATCTGTACTGTGATCATGATTGTGCAGAAAACTAATGTGAGATGCCAATATTAAGAAAATCTCCAGAAATTCTATTTTTTTTTCTATTTTAGTTGAAAAAAATCTTATGCCCATTTAATATGCACCACCGCCAAAGAGAAACTATCTTTAATGATTGTCAGAATATGGAAAGAAAGTAATTAATGAAAGGAAAAAAGAAAATAGTCTTTCCTTTTTTTGTTTTCTGTTCAAATGTCGTTTAACAATATATGGATCTCTGATATGGATTTGATGTAATTTCTTATATTCTGTCCAATTCTGCTCTGTTTTTATACATGACCCATTATACATGCCCATACATAACCCTCTCTTAATTTAAGCCAGCAGATTCTATATTCATGAGTTATTCATAGGAATAATTTTTCTCTACTGAAATTCTATAACTCCATCTTTTCCCCAGATATATTGGGTTGGACCAATCATAGGAGCTGTCCTTGCTGGTGGCCTTTACGAGTATGTCTTCTGTCCAGATGTGGAACTCAAACGTCGTTTTAAAGAAGCCTTCAGCAAAGCTGCTCAGCAGACCAAAGGCAGCTACATGGAGGTGGAGGACAACAGGAGTCAGGTAGAGACCGAGGACTTGATCCTGAAACCTGGAGTGGTACACGTGATTGACATTGACCGGGGTGAGGAGAAGAAGGGGAAAGACCCCTCAGGAGAAGTGTTGTCTTCGGTATGACTAGAAGATAGCACTGAAAGCAGACAAGAACCCTTAGAACTGTCCTCAGATTTCCTTCCACCTATTAAGGAAACAGATTTGTTATAAATTAGACATGTGCAGGTTTGTTGTTTCATGTCATATTACTCAGTCTAGATAATAAGTATTCCATTACTTACCAAGGAGGGATGGAAGAAACCTAATGTGAATTCCAAATCTATAAAAGAAATATTTCAAAGTATCCCCAAAGTGAACATGTATCTAGTGTATCTAATTGCTACTCATTAATAATCAATTTTAAATGTGTATCAGGATTTGGTTAAGTCTTGCCTGACAGAAAATATAGACAAACCTATCAGCTTATTCCTCCTCTACCAGGAAATTGGTATTGCCAATTCTCATTTGAGTATTTATTCCCTTAAATCAAGTTTGTCAGTGGCAAAATACAGTATGTCACAGAGTCATGCACATTCAAGAAAGGAAATATAACAAGCTTTTTTTATGGGCAATCCCTTATTTATAAACTACCTCGGCAAAAGCATATATTAACAGGGATCATTGCTAATGAATTATTTCCACTTAGATTTCAAATACCGAACTTTAAACCCAAACTCCAATTCATAATATTGCTTCCTCCTCCTCAATGCGCAAGATAATGTGAAACTAAAACACAGAAATTACAAGAATGTTCAGAAATCCTGTATATTTATTAGTCCCACCTAATAAAACATCCAAATCATGAGAGACATCTATTTAGATCTCGGACAAACAACCTTGTAAGATCTTATGGAGGTGGGGAGAAACTGACCATCATACAAAAATAAGGAAGAAGGAAATCTGAATTCTGGTTTCAGATAGTTGTTCTGTTTTCAGTGCACATCCTCAAATCCACCGCATGAGGTTAACAATATAAGCTTTTAACCACTTAATTACTTTGCTTATTTTTAAAAATTTATTGGCAAAACTGGGGATTTTGTTTGTTTGTAACTTTGGTTATCTATATCTAAACACTAGCTGAGACGTATTTTTTTTAAATCCTTACCTGAGGATATTTTTCCACTGATTTTTAGATAGAGTGTGAGGGAGGGAGGAAGAGAGAGGGAAATGTCTATGTGAGAGAGACACATCTTTGGTTGCCTCCCACACGACCCCAAATGGGCCCGGGTTCTGAGGATTGAACCTGCAACCAAGGTGAGTGCCCTTGACTGGGAATCAAACCCGAGGTTCTTCAATCTGAGGGCCAGTGCTCTGTTGAGCCAGGGCAGCTAAGACATATTTTTGATAACAAGAACATAACTATGTGAGTCTGGACTTTTTGTTTATTATTAGGCTCTGTCCACTCTAGAAGGTGTAAACTGGTCTCTGATGCTGTCTCACTTCTCATAGAATTAGTGATTATCATCACTTTGCGTGTAATAATATTTTAATGAAGTAAAATGCATGAGAGATAAGGAACAAGATGCCTGTAAAATAAAAGGGTAAGGACATCAGAACATCTGTATTCAAAACCGACTAGATGACCAATCTTTCCTTTGTAGGGATATCATACATAACATGTTTTTTAAGTATTTTCATTATTGACTCGATTATTCATCAAAATAGTTTGCCATTCCTGTGCTGCTTTGCCTTCATGTCAGTAGAATGGTCTCTGGAAGCCCCAGTTCCTATCACCTTAACTGTGTAGTCTAGCCTTTAACTTAGATAAATAACTGCAAATGCCAATTTCACTGAACAAAAGCTAGCAGTAAAGCAAAATTCTATCCCTGCGAAGAATGGCGTGTAAATAGCTGTTAATCAAGGGCTTTCTTCTCTCACGCACAGTTCCAACTGTGTGCCACTTTTTAGTGTTAATGGCAGTTGTGTGTCTGTAGCAGTGAGATAATGGACCACTATTAAACCTGATTCTCTTCGGTGCTAGGAAAGTGATGTGTGAGGTTTCCAGACAGTCGTCACGCCAGTGTTGTGCCTGGGAGTGTCACTGGCATTGTTTCACTGCAGGTCGAAATCCCAGGCCCCTTTCTTAGGGTTGTGGCCAACCACACCCTCCACCAGTGATGCCTGTTGCCTCCTGTTTGGGAAGCATCTGAAGAAACTAGATGCTATTGTAAGGATGGTTGATGCCAAACTCTTTTTTTTTTTCTTTATTGATTTTAGAGAGAGGAAGGGAGAGGGAGAGAGAGATAGACACATCGGTGAGAGAGAACGATTGACTGCCTCATGCATGCCCCCACTGGGGATTTGGCTCACAACCTGGGCAAGTGCCCTGACTGGGAATCGAACTGGCAACCTCTTGGTGCATGGGTCAACGCTCAAGCACTGAGCCACACTGGCCAGGCAATGCCAGCCTTTTTAAAGTTTTCATACTATACCCTTAGAAACTTAACATTGGTGGTGGTGGTGGTTCCACTCAAAAGATCATTTGCAAACACACCAGTTCAAAAATAGCTTAACAAAGACAAGGTAAGCCAATTTTACCAGTATTCTTACAAATTATTGGTTCATAATCATTTTTATTCAGCCATATGTTTGAGTATTCAATAAGTTAGCGCTGAAAAAAAGCATAAATGATGTTTTCATACTTTGTTTTCCAGCAGCTAACAGAGTGCCTGCACATAGTAGGTATTCAAAACAAGTGTTAGTTAATAAAAATATATATATTTCATATAAAATTTAAGAATATGAATAATTTTCTCTTAATTTTTATTTTGCTCAATATTTAATGAAAGCGTGATTTCAAGGATTACTAAGGGAAGGCAATATAAATGTAAAAAGCATAAAATATATTTCTACTATTTTAGAGGCATGAAAGTTTTAGTACTTTTTTTTTTCTGCATATGAGACAACATATTTTGTATTTCACTCAAGGCTCTGCCAGTACAAAGTAATGAAATTGTACCTTTCTAATGACATCTATGCAGCAGGGGTCTATTGCCTTGTGGATGGCACCAAATTATCCAAGTGTATTAGGAGACTAGGGCTTTTTCCTTTAATCCCTTCTTATTAATGAAGTGCCTTGTGCTGCTCCCAGGAGAGGGACACTGACAGATATACAGAAAAGAGATCAGAGAGAAAAAACTGGAAGGACATAAATGAATTATACCCAGCCAGGAAATGATGCCAACCATCTCTTCCCTAAGGAAAAGTACAGCAAGAGCCCCCAAATTGCAAGGTGGTCCCTACCCTGAAAATGTATATAGTTTATCAAAGAGCTCCAAGGGTAAGAGTCATTTTTTAAGTTTTCAGGGATTTTTTAAATAATTTGGGGCCCAGAATTTGAATGAATGTTTTTATTGTTGAAGACAAAATTTTCTTCAGAGTCCTAAATTTTTACCCTGGAAGGAAGTTATTTTCTAGTACCCAAGGAGCTGCCTAAATTTAAGATTCCTAGACTTTGTTTCTGCCATTTGACACTTTTCATTAATTCTTATGCTTTCTATCATCTGACCATTTTCCTAATGCGATTGATAGGTGCTAGCTAGAGCTGCCGCTCAGTCTTAAAGATTTTACAAGAAGATCATAAATATTTTAATAAAACAGATGATGGAATTAAGCTGTCTGATTAATTACTAGAGGTATGATCCTAAATAGCACAAAATAGTCTTCTTGGGCCCTGAAACCAGGCAACTCACTTACTGGTTTAAACTCTAAAATAAACAGGAAAATGCCAAAATAGAGTAGCAAATTCAAATGCTACTCCCTTCTGGCGAGGCCCCTCATTACAACTTGTTGACAACATTCCCACTTGTTGTGAACATTTGACAAAGAAATTGCCTTTGTGATAATAGCAGATGACATTGGGAGCTCAGTAGACCACCTTATCAAGCAGTATAAAACCAACATAAATTCTCATCATTAGCTCTATAGAATATGCAAATTCAGAATATTTTATACCTGATAGTAATAGTAATTCTGTCTTTCATGATATGTTTATGGCATCAAAATTATTAGAAAGATGTGGTTACTATCTGGAAAGTACAACAAAACTCATGTTCTGTGCCACAAATTTTCTCTTTGCATTTATATTGTAGTACTTTACAGATCACCCCAAAACAGCAATAACTTTTGAAGCCCGTAATTTTTTGAAGCCCAGACATTTAGTTCAGGGCCCAAAACCTGTGGCTGCTCATATTTGCAAATAACTGTAGCTTATAAAATACATTATCAAATAAATGTTATACAACATGTGCAATAAACATTAAATTCAAGAGTCATTATGGTGTTACCCATGCATGTTAAAATCAAAGAGCTAAAAAGTATACTTAATTTATAGGACACATTGGAATATATTTCTAGATTCTCTTAAGGATTAATTAAATAAACAGGCAATTTATGAAAATATGTAAACAATTGTTTGTCACTTTTATGACCCAAATCACAATGAAATTGTAATTCATGATAAACTGGTGAGAATAAACTGAACATATGGTTATATTCACAGTCATTTATTAACAGAAATGTTATTCCAATGTTACAGTTAATGTTAAGGAGATTTAAACTGTAATGTCTAATATTTGAAATAATCTATTAAAGTATTAGCATTGTGGTTGATATCCATGAATGGTATTTTAGCTCATAAAACTAAGCTTGTGAAAATAAACTTTTTAATGTTTTTAAAGGTAAGTGTTATGCTTGATGATGATTGAAAAACTATTCATAGTTTTTGCAAGTTAGATCTTAAAAGCATCTTTTAAAATGACCAAGAATGTTTCAATATTTGAGTATAATCAACACCAAATGAAATGTTGGTGGAATCCATATAACAAAATGTACTTTTGAGAGCCTGCAGAGAGAGTATACACTGTGACAGACCCTGATGTAGACAGGGAAAATTGGATTTTCATGGGCTTAATTCTAAATATCCACATCTATGCAGAATAGGCCATTGAACATCAGCTTTCATTATAGTGAGTCTAAAAGTGAAGACAAACAACTGTGACTCAAACGAGGGTGGTATTGCCAAATAGATGATCTATCCTTAGGGCATTTGGCAGATTCTGCCTATGCAGATGGATAATATAGGTATAATGAGTACTGGTTTACTCCCTTGAGTTCTTGGTTTGAGGGGCTCCTCAATTTTGAGAGGTTATAGGCCCTCAGGGACGGATTGAGGACAACCATTTATGTAGAGTACAAGCCATCAGATGGGTATGAACCCCTCTTATAGCATTTATCACATTGTAGTAAAATTACTTGTGTAAGTCTGTCTTCCCTACTAAGATCTAACCTCCTAAGGGCTAAGAATTTGTATTATTTATTCTGTATCCCCCAACCTCAGTATGGAACACTAGGCTTGACATTTCACTCAATAAATGCTTGTTTCATGAATGAATAAAGAACTTAAAGAACATTTCATAATCAGTAGGAAATGCCACAAAGCATTATACTTCAAGCTAGTTGATTTTGCCATTATATAGGTGTGTACTATATATTTGAATTCTTATAATTCCAGTTAGGAGCCTGGAACTAGCTCCAACACTAAAGAAAAAAATGCACAGAAAAAATGCAATACTAATTGGATTTCTAAAATGTATACCTAATGTGTAGGCAACAAGACATGTTTTCATTGCTATATTTATACAGTGGCCAGATGTTAGATGAAATTTAGCTCAATGAGTATTTCAGCAAGAAGAGTATTTTAACAAGCATGGGAAGCTAAAGATATGAATGTCAGCCTGATTTTAGATAATTATCCTGCTTGGAAAATGTCCAAAACAATACGCAATCTGAACTAATTCTTACTATTTTTTAGTTTTTCTATCTCTTCACTCCTCGGGCTGAAGAGGACATTGAGGACCCTAGAAAGATGAGTTGAGTTATGCTCCCTCCACATGTACAGAAGTTGCTAAGAAATCATAATATTGATGTTTGTAATCTTTGTGCATACCACAGTGATGGTACATGGCTAGTGCTCAATAAATGCAAGATGGATGGATAAATGGGTAGATGGATGGATGAAAGAAGCACTTCAATCTGGAAGTGTTGAGTTGATCTGTGAACAGATGAAAATCATAGCCTATATTCCTTCTTCCTTTATAAGAGCACTGGCCAAGGA